GGGGGGGGCTTTGAGGAGCCTGGAAGGACATTGGGGTGCCCAGGGGGAGGTGAGACAGGGACAGGTGTGACAGGGACAGGTGTGACACAGGTGTGACAGGGACAGGTGATGTGTGACAGGTGACATGTCCAGGTGTGACATGTACAGGTGTGACACGGGCAGGTGTGACGTGTCCAGGTGTGACATTGCCGGATGACAGGTGACATTTGATAGGTGACAGGTACAGGTGTGACAGGTACAGGTGTGACAAGTACAGGTGTGACGTGGGCAGGTGACAGGTGATGTCTGACAGGTGACATTTGACAGGTGACATCTGATATGTGACAGGTGGCAGGGACAGGTGTGACATGTACAGGTGTGACACAGGTGTGACAGGGACAGCTGTGACAGGGACAGGTGTGACACAGGTGTGACAGGGACAGGTGTGACAGGCACAGGTGTGACAGGCACAGGTGTGACACGGGCAGGTGACAGGTGTGCCATTTGACAGGTGACATCTGATATGTGACAGGTGACAGGGACAGGTGTGACAGGGACAGGTGTTACAGGTACAGGTGTGATGTGGGCAGGTGTGACAGGGACAGGTGTGACAGGTACAGGTGTTACAGGTACAGGTGTGACACGGACAGGTGACAGGTGTGACATTCGACAGGTGACATCTGATATGTGACAGGTGAGGTTTGACAAATGACATGGGCGGGTGACAGGTGACGCGAGCCACGTGACAGGTGACGCGAGCCACGTGACAGGTGACGTGTGCCACGTGACAGGTGACGTTTGTCGCTGGCGCCACGTGCAGGTGACGCACAGGTGACGTCACCGATCCCGGAATAGCGGCGGGATTAGGGCGGGGCCTGGCGGGGACAGAGGTGACACCGGGACGGGGGGGGGGGACAAAGGGGGGGACGGAGACACGACAGGTGACACCCGACAGGTGACACCCGACAGGTGACACCCGACAGGTGACACTGGGTGTGGCACACAGGTGACACCGAGCACAGGTGACACTGAGTACAGGTGACACTGGGATGTGACACCGGGGGGTGACCCACGTGTGTCCCCCCACATTGTGCCCCCCAGGTGTGT